AAGACTTTGTACATTATTAAAGGCAGAAAATTTTCAATGAATGTTAAACTAATGTGAATCATAAAACTTAATGTTATCTTAATATAAGTTAAATCATCTGAAAAGTTTTTTATGTTTTTGACAGACTATTTAATTCAACTTCTTCCCGCTTACCGATGTAGGCATCACCCATTCGAAAGTTTTTATTACCTACGTGTAAATGAAAATTCTGAATAAATGTGTAATTTTAATTAACTTTAAAAAGTTAATTTTAGTATTTTCAAAAGTTTATCTTGGAATAAGGTAAATTTTAAAAGTATATATGTTAAAACTAGTGTCTTACGTATTTCATATCCAATGACATATACGCGGGATCCAATTGCAAAACAGAAAAAAAAACTAGAACGGTTATAAAGATAGCACTTACATAAAATCCTGACTAAAAGGTCTCTTGGATGCACTAAAGGCTGTAAATATATCACTTTATGTATCTCTCAAATACTTAAAAGATAAATTCAGTTTTGGCGTCAAGCACAGACACTCACTTTTCCATCGCAATAATCGATTTGAATAACGATTTCCATTGGCAGACCTTGTAAATTACCGACCAATCACATTTGAGGGCATTCATTAACCGGTAGTCAAAACATCCCAGTTCGTTTAATTTGTTTGACAATTCTATCGATTTATAATTCTTAAATTTCAAAAAAGTTGGCTAGCATCAAGTTATGAAAAAATGATACCAGTTCTTGATAACAAAATAAACTCATAGGTTGAAAGTAATGGATAGTGATCGGTCTCGGCCAATAAAGTTCAAATCCGTCTTATTGTAAGTTTTGATAAACTCCAGTCCCAAAGAAGCACAGCGTGTTTGAAAGCCAACAAAAAAAGTTGTTTAAAGCAGCCATTGCAATTCTCTCTCTATTGTTTGGAATCTGACTCTATGACTGAGAAATAATATACACTTAATGACTGTTCCCAAGGAAAACGGCGTAGCTCGGGAAACATTGAGATTCTCGGGAAACAAAACTAACCATTTCCCGAGGGAACAGTCATTTTAATTCACATAATTTACCAATATAACAAAGCACTTTTATTTAAAAGTGCTTTGTTATATTGGTAAATTATGTGAATAAAAAAAATTAGATGATTCTCAATAATCATGAATAATACTTTATTGTAAATATAATATTTGACCGTCGCGACAAAATAGCAAGATGTTAAGCGTTTAAATTACNACTCCAGTCCCAATGAAACACAGCGTGCTTGAAAGCCAACAAAAAAAGTTGTTTAAAGCAGCCATTGCAATTCTCTCTCTATTGTTTGGAATCTGACTCTATGAAATAATATACACTTAATGACTGTTCCCAAGGAAAACGGCGTAGCTCGGTAAACATTGAGATTCTCGGGAAACAAAACTAACCATTTCCCGAGGGAACAGTCATTTTAATTCACATAATTTACCAATATAACAAAGTGCTTTGTTATATTGGTAAATTATGTGAATAAAAAAAATCAGATGATTCTCAATAATCATGAATAATACTTTATTGTAAATATAATATTTGACCGTCGCGACAAAATAGCAAGATGTTAAGCGTTTAAATTACATTGTGCTTGAAAATAAAGCTAATATAAATATAAAGATGCCAAAAAACTAGCAAAACTTTATGAATGAAACAGTCAATGAGTTCCTGAATAGAAATTTAACGTGGCATTTGTCCAAATTCACCGTTTCTCTTTTGGTTTTCTGCAGAATTCTATCAGAGTCGTAGCCAAAGCAGTCTTTATAGCCTTTGTTAGTGTTTTCCAAGTCTTTTTTGACAACCATTTCGTCTATTTCTTGACTAAGATTTGAAAATCTCTTTTGATGCCGGCTCCATTTTGTAAACAGTCGAAAACAGCAAAAACCATTCCCGCCTTTACAAACTTTTACTCGACGCGAGGCGGCCTTTTCCCGCCAATGGCAAAGCGGTCAACAATCGTCAAACTGTTGACCGATTCAACAGTTGATTTTAGCTCCGGACACGTGACACCSAATCGTCCAATAAGAGAGCGAGAAAACAGTGAAAATAATTTACCAATATAACAATAAAGGATGTGTAACGCGCACAAATGGAGTGAAAACTCGCTGTATGACGTACCGTATTAATATACACGCGCTAGAAGTTCACACCCAGAGTTGACAGACAGAATGTTGATAATTAATGATTCACGACTTTCCTGCCAAATACACAGGCTAAAAAATATTGAAATTACTCCATTTACACGGAAAAGCATCAAAGAAATATCTGTGATCTGTGATTACCTTATCTCTTTGATACATACTAAATCAATGGTCACTTGCGGTTGGTATATACTAATGTCGTGAATTAAACGTAGTTATAAGAAAACACAAAACGTTATGCAGCTGCGGATTGAACATGAAAAGTGTCAAAAAAGTTATCGATTAACATTGCTCTTTAAATCGAATACATTTTTGCCTAAAAAGATTTATAACTTTGAATTTCAAGGAATGTAGTTTTAATATTATTGAAGTGTGTTTGGAAACGACATTTGCAATGGCAACCAGAATCCATTTRCAGCCGTTAACTAGTAAAATTGTATTGCTTTGAAAATGAGGCAGGAAAAATAAAAGAACGCGCGCACATAAAACGTCATACTCGCACAAAAGTTAAAACAAGATGATATATTTATTGTCGTAAAAAAAATTGAAATCTTTAAGCACACAAAATGTATAGTGCAGTTTGACATAACATAAGACACAAAATATATTCACTAATCTGTTTCACATAAAATGGAAACATAAAATGGAAACAATTTTAATGTCAGATCTCGATTATAATTCCACAGATCGAAATATAGTTTCTCATTRCCATTTCTTCAAGCAGCCAATCAAAGCCAGCGAACACTGTGAAAAAATAGCGGGCGACGAAGGGAGACTCTCTTTCTAGGTTTGTAAATTAAATTGAGTGCTTAGAGCTCTAAATGAACCATCAATTACCTGTTTGTTGTTAGAAGTAAAGTAGTAGTGCAGCTATCCTCTGATAAAGATGTATTAGTATATAACAAGGTATAAACTAAACAATGGACTGCACGCACACGAGAGTTAGTGATTTAATGCTAACTTATTTTCAATGTTAGCAGCTYGAAAAATTAAGGTATACAATGCTTAGCTATTTTTAATGTCCTATGATCTACTTACTCACTACACGTGTGACATTTCATGTTACTGCCATCGTACCTTTTTTCTTGCTTTGCTTACTCTTTTTTTCCTCTCAGGRCCTTTAGTCCTCTTCAAGTGTAAGGTGCTTTCGTAAGAACTTTGACGACTTTTCTGCCTTGTGTCTTTTATTTTTCGGTCTATACTGCTATTCAGCAAGATTCTTATCTTCTTCTAACGAACTCCTTACAAAACCCTTTTAGTAATAGGAGGAGCCGACGTGTTCCTGGGGGAAATATATCTGTTCTTATGTCCCAGCCAGCTGTAAGTCACATCTGGTTGTCAGCGAGACTGATTCAGGAAAAAAGAAAAACGCTCCAGGCAAGGAATGCCTTCGAAGAATTCAGTTTTGCCAGGAAAATAAACATTTCCTAACTAAAAATTTTTAATAATAATTATAGGTACATGTTTTTGGTATGTAAATGAGAGTATTTATTCTTTTTTGGAACTACACCTGACTAAATAACTAAACTTTCACCATTTTGAATAATCATATCATTGAGCAAAATAATTCTGTAATTTCAAGGCAACTGATGTATGTATACATATATTAGGTGTATGATAGATAATTGTCAAAGAAAAAGTTTCTAGGGTCAGTATCAGATACCAGAACAATTAGATATAATCGGCCAATTGCAATCAGGAATCAGTAATACCTGATACAGAAGGAACCGATATATTAGTGATTTAACTCATCAAATAGCGTTCTCAAACTCATTACAATGGCTTGAGCTGAAGATTGCACTAATATGATTGG